GGCTCAGGCAGCGCGCAGGGTTGGGGGATTGGTGTTAATGATTGGAGAGGTGTGATGGGAAGCTGGCAGGGTTGGCCCACATTGGCTGAATGGAATTGCACTTGGGCGGAACTAAGGACAGAGACAGAGATATGCAAAAATTGATGGCGTTCAATCCTTTACAGTTGTGTGCCCACTCATTTCATGAAGTTGAGTTGGATTCTATGGATTCCTACGCCTTAAGTGACCATCAAAAACATCCAACACCGTGCACATTTGTCTTCCCAGAATTGGTGGGAAGTCTTGCTGGAACGCCCTATGATTGCGGGTCAAAAATCGTGGAAAATCGTGGTTAATGGTCCATCAGGTCCATCATTCACTGCTGAACTTTCCCATGTTTGATGGTGAAATCCGCGACGCATCCCCCATTTTGAATGGCTAAACGAGGTGAAATTCTGGAAAATCATGTGAAATTTCAGCCCAAGAATCATATGAATCTCTTCCCATGTTCAAATGTGTAAAAAAAAATGATTTCTCCACGGATTTCTCAGCATTTTTCGCCGCAGGTGGTTCATGCCCATTGCCAGCAGAAGTTGGATGCCGCCAGGGAGCAGTTGGAAACAGTCTGGGAGGAAGTCTTGCAGCAGGTGCGGGGCCGCAGGGCTGGGCAGTTGGGGGAGAGTTACATGTTGGATTTTCATATGGAATGTGTGGGATCTTAAAGGGATTTCATGGGATTTTATGATTTTTTAATACCCATAGGATCCATGTATGCTATATATATGGTAACATTTACCATATTTTACTATCAATATACCCCAAATGTTAGCATATATACCATACATGGATCCTATGGGATAGGAATTCAATGGGATTTTATAATGTTTTTGTTAGTGACATTTGATGGAATGCTCATGGGACTGTAATACGTGGATTTCATTGGATTTTAAAACGGTTTTTCTGTGAATGTTCATGGGATCTACATGGAACCATATATATATATATGGTTGATGGTTTGGAACATGTTTTATTTTTCCATATATTGGGAATGTCATCATCCCAACTGACTTTCATATGTTTCAGATGGGTTTTCTTTAACCATCAACCAGATATGATATATAGAAATAAACGCGTTTTTAAGTGGATTTGAAGTGTATTTTACTGGGATTCATCCAGAAAATACCAACGCATGGTATAGTTATGGGATTCATCCAATCATCCAATGCCTGGTCCAGCCGAGTTGCGGTGGGCTACAAAGGTGTGATCTACATTCTGTTAGGGCTTCAAGGGCTTCTAGGAGGTATCCAAGATTTGGGGAATGGATTAGTTGGTTTTTAATTGGAGTGGGTTGGAAACCAGTTGATTTACTTTAGGATACCTCCTGCGGGTTTTTGAACTAATCTATATATTTCAGTTCGGAACATTTTTTTCTCACCAACCAGCAGCAAGGGATATAATAATTGGATGAGATATTCTAAGTATTTCCAGATGATTCCAGGTCTGTCGAAAGATGTGGAAATACTAAAGATTCCATGAAAGAATGTGCTTGCTAGCTGTAATTGCACAGCTACACACAGCTACACCATGATGGATTCAATTCCAATGACTGCAGGATCTTTGCAACCTGTCCGGTGGGAGGAAAAAAACACGTGATGACCATCATTCATTGACACCTGAAGACCATGAATTGGCACTTTCCTCCCCACTGAAAAATCATGTGCGACAAAGACAGAAGGATATCAAAGCTCGCTATACAGTGGTTCATGCATAATTTCATGTATAATTTCTATGCGTTTTGCGATGATGATGATCCTAACATAGATCGCATAGATCCCATTGAAACATACATGGCGTGCAAAAAAAAACAGAAAAGGATAGCTGCCTTCTTGTTCGCCTGATTCTTTAGGTGGTCCAGATGGAGTTCGTGTCCTCCTTAGCAGATGCCGTTAAGGCCAGAGCGGATGAGGGCAGCGGATGTGGCAAACATGTGGCGCACAGCTGGATATACAACAACATACCCTCTGGTAAACATACAAAAAAACTATGCAAGATCACCACTTTAATAAGGAGGGCTAATTATTTTAGGATTTTTTTAAAATCAGGTTTAGGAATTATTTTTGGATTCCTGCTTCTCTGCTTTTCCTGCTTCTCTGCTTTTCTGCTTTTCCTGCTTCTTTGCCTTTCTGCTGTTTTGCTTTTGTGCGTTTCCTGTTTCTTTGCTTCTCTGCTTTTTTGCTTCTCTGCTTTTTTTTGCTTTGCCTGCTTTAAATACTTGATTTTCATGTAAGATGCATTTTGCACAGTATTTACATCCCTGAGTATCACATGACCAACCTTCTCTTGAAAACTTGCAACGTAACATGTGAGAAGAGGTGCTTGCATTCTGCTTTGGGAGGAGGCGCTGCGCCCTCCCCCCAATCCCCCCCTCCCGCTTTTTTTTTATTTAAACTTAAACCCAAGTTACATTAGTTGGTTTTTGCGAACTAACCTTCTCTGGAAAGCTGACAGGATTACATGTGATAGATAGATAGATGGATAAATAGATAGATAGATAGATAGATAGATAGCTGGATAGATAGATAGCTTGGTAGATAGATAGCTAGATAGATAGATAGCCAGCTAGATAGATAGATAGCTAGAGAGATAGATAGCTAGATACCTGGATAGATAGATGGCTAGCTAGATAGCTAGATAGATAGATGGCTAGATAGATAGCTAGATAGATAGCTAGCTAGATAGATAAAGAGGTAGGTAGATAGATAGCTAGATAGATAGATAGATAGATAGCTAAATAGATAGGCAGATAGTTAGCCAGATAGATAGATAGCTAGATAGATAGCTCGATAGCTAGATAGCTGGATAGACAGCTGGATGGCTAAATAGATAGATAGCTAGATAGATAGAAAGCTAGATAGCTAGATAGATAGATAGTTAGCTAGATAGCTCGATAGCTAGATAGCTGGATAGACAGCTGGATGGCTAGATAGATAGATAGCTAGATAGATAGAAAGCTAGATAGTTAGATAGCTAGATAGATAGTTAGCTAGATAGCTAGATAGGTAGATAGATAGCTAGCAAGATAGCTAGCTAGATAGGTAGATAGATAGCTAGATAGATAGATAGCTTGCTAGATAGATAGCTAGCTTGCTAGATAGATAGCTAGCCAGATAGCTAGATAGCTAGCTAGCTGGATAGATAGCTAGCGCCCTCCCTCAATCCCCCCCACCCGCTTTTTATCTAATCCCAAGCTTCTGCATCTGTAAATATTTGGGTGAACATGCTCACATGTAGAACATCCCATGCAAAATGGAAGGTGAACATGCCAAAATGTGGCAAATCCCATACAAAATGGAAGGTGAACATGCCCACATGTAGGAAATCCCATGCAAAATGGAAGGTGAACATGCCAAAATGTGGCAAATACCATACAAAATGGAATGTGAACATGCCCACATGTAGTAAATCCCATGCAAAATGGAAGGTGAACATGCCCAAATGTGGCAAATACCATGCAAAATGACAAATTCAAGTTCCAAACCGTTGCAAACACTAGGCAAATGGTACCAGCCAAGAAATCCAAAAAAAAATCCCAAACCTGCTCAAAAAAAAATCCTAAAACTATTTCACACCCCTTTAATAATTAGATAAGTCGACTATTTCTTTGGGCCATTTTCAATAGCAAACTCTTAGTTTACCGGAGGGTATATATATATAAAGCATACAGTGGAATTTTCGGTAACGTGGCAACAATGCGACCTTCTCTAGCTGTTTTTCCTGCGGTGATATCCGAAAAACCCTCAGCCCCTGTGGGCTCAAAAAGTCACCGAAATCAACCTCCATCTGACAGCGTTGGACTCATGCGGCTGGTTTCCAGCGGCAGGGGCGGGCTGGAAGGGGAGGGCAGTTGACACGATAAAGGATGACCATCCGAAAGGTTTTCAAGCCTACGACTTGATGGAGTTTTCCATGGGAGTGTGTTTTTGGGAATGTTGGTGTTACTGTCATGAATTGTTTAAACATTTTGCCATGAATTGTTTAAACAACTTGTAGATCAGCACAGTGTCCTCGACCATGTCAGGTTGTTTCCTAGCAGGTCCCATTTATGGCAACAGGCACGTCCAATATCCTAAAATATCCAAAGTTTTTTGATATGGCAATGTCATTTATTGATGCTGAGGGTGAGTCATTGATGTTTGACCCCACTGCGGCGACCCCAATCGAACCATCTCGAAACGATGATGGGTTGGCATCCCCATGATATCAAATCCTACCAATGATTTCCGCCAAAAGTTCTGGGTTTGCGAAGAGTGATGGACCCAATGGACCCCATCCCCTTTCCGCTCAGATAGCACCGAAAACCGGATTTAGTATGGGATATTATTGGGTCCAGTCTCAACCCCGGATTTATCAACAATGTTTGGGTGATCCAAAAGTGATCATTTGCTACTCGACTGAAATGGCACCCCCCAATCGCCCACAAGGTTGTTGAATCAACTGTGACATTCTTCATTTAGGGTCCCATTGGTAGTTGCACATTGGACTTATCTAAGCTGGACGGGATCTGTCATAAGACCACCTTTGTGGTGCTGATGTCATAGCTGGATCTTATTTCAAGGGAGCACCAAGGACAGAACATGGTGAGGCGGCTCCACTGGCAGCCAGAGTGCACCACACCAAGCGCTCGGAGTTTCTTTTCTACCTTTTTCTTCCAGTCACTGGGTATGACACAGGGTGGCCAAAATTCCGACGTGTCGTTGCCTAATGTTGCTTCTATTGGCCGCCTTTTTAAAGTGCCAAAGTTGGAATTGCCGGACTATGATGTTCTTTTTGTTGACGAATCTTGTGGTGGTGTTACCCATTGGTTTGTGGGTCTTTGAGGCCCCACATTACATCAACTCAGGTTTTGACATGACTGTCACACTGGCTGTCACACCATCCCAAAGTGCCTAGCAATGTGGGGCCACGAAGATTGAATACAAAATGGCAGCTTTCAACAAAATGAACCAGTTTTTTGTGGCCCCCATGAGTTTTCAGGCCTGAATTGAATGATATTGAATGAGAGGCAGGTAGGTCCGCAAAGCCAGACGAAAACAATCATAAAATTGCCATTTCATTCATTGAACATTTATTTCCGATATGCAGAAGGTATGACTAACCTTGATTTCCATCTTTAGTTTTCGCAGGTGCATACATCTCCATTATTTGCCTGAGATTGGACACTCAGGCAGTTGTGATCACACTCTCGACTTCGCTAATTCGTATCAATCAGAGTCTCGGCAGTGATGACCCCTTCTTCTTCGGAAGAAGCTGCCTCAAAGGGATTATTTTTTAGAAACTATACCTGGAATATGTATATATATATATATGAATATAGGGGTTTCCTAAATTAGGGGTACCATGGCCATGGGGTACCCCCCTAATCATCCATTTATAAATAGATTTTCCATTATAAACAATCAATTTTTGGGTACCCCCCCATTTATGGAAACCTTCATTCATATGTTGGGGGTTATTTTTCAATCTTCAGGACAACTCGGATTCAGAGTGTGTTTAGCGTGATGCTATTTGGTAATTTAGCAATGTGCTATGATATAGCTAGTCCATTCAGTTCGATGATTGACCTGAATTTACTTGAATTTACCTCAGAAATTGTGATTTCTATACCCATATGCTCCATGGTGCTGGAATATTTACCAACATTTTCCCTAAAAGTCACCCAGTTATGTAGGTAAATATACCAGCACCATGGATCCTATGGGATAATCCGAAAACTGTTACATAAATTAACGGATTGTAGCCATCATAAGTGGGTCGTTTCTTTATGGCCGATCCTTGGCGAAAGGTTAGGGACGTCATTCGCTGGTGCTGAGGATGCTGATGGCAAAAGAGCATTTTCCTTATCCCTTTGTCTTGGTGTCTGGCCGTCAGTTTCGTCCGTTTCAAATGTGGTAAACCCAATGGGTGCGCTGAACCATCCCAGCCTGGGGTTAGAAAAATGGTGATTTGAATGAACTTAAATGGGTGAAACCATGGTATAGATGGCCCATAGAAATAGATGATTTTCCCATTAAAACCTTCATTCATGAGGGATTTTCCATGGCTATGTCAAATAACCAGATGGTAAACCCAATAAACCTAACATTTGGGGATGGTTTATATCACCCATTAATTGTCAATGCGGTTTATCACATTACTGCAGTTCTCCTACCATTTTTGTTGAGACATTTTATCTGACTGTAAAGAGGACTGTTTTCCGAACCCAGCAATACAAGATCAAATAAATTCAGCAAGCCGGCTGCCTATCTTTGTCATGTATCATCAGGATGGACCAGAACCTATATGAAAGACCATTCTTGGAGGGATGCACATACTTAATTCCATCTATGTTGCTGTGAGATGCAGGGGGTTCCTATGGATTCCTATGGTGTCGTGATGCATAGCCAGGTGATTCTGCACTGTTATTTTTGCACTCTCTTCGCTCTGATTTTGCTGTGGCTCCGCCCCGGCTTGTTTCCTGCCTTGAGAGATCCGGATAAGAAGGTAGAGCTCTCTCTCCGTTTCTTGGCAACGGAACTTGGATGCTGGAAATTTGGTAGATCAAACACTTGCAGGTGCAAAACTGGGGTAGAGGGCATGCGGAATGAGATTTTCATCCTCACAAGCTGGCCCTGGAAGTATGGTGGAACCGCAGCACAAAAAGTTGAATGAAAGCTATGGTTTGCAGGCCATGCAGGCTCCATATGGGAAAAGGGTAGTTATGGTAATCATTGGTGGGTTGACCACGGCGTTTTTTTTGGACCAAAGCACTTGTTGCTGCCTTCCAGATCTTCCAGGCGAGGAACAGCGGAAGATTACCTTGTTTCAGACACAGACACACGCTCTTACACGGAAGACTGGTCCTTTTACATTGTTTTATTGTACAATTGGCTGGTTGGTGATTTCAACCCTTTGGATTTTGCAGCCTTTCTAGAGAGATGATTTGAAGTTCCTTCAGTTCATTGCCACATCCCAGAAATCGGTCAAGAGCCAAGACAATCTCAGATTCCCAATGGCTAAGCCACTCATCCCCCAAAAAAAAAGGTACCATTTGACTCCCCTTTTCGATGTTTGAGCATTTTATACGACTCCAATGGTCCAAGGCTGCTACATTACCTCAATTCTTCCCATTGCGTTGTGCTTCACCGTTTCGTTGGTCCTGTCCAACCTGGCCTACAAGTACTGCACTGTGGCCTTTCTTCAGATGATCAAAGAGGGCCTCCTGGCCGGAAGCGGCCGTTTTTCGGTGCATCCCAGTGGATCAAAGGTGATTTGCCAATTTCAGTACCACTGACGGTCAATAATATAATAGATTAAAAAAATGATGTGATATGAATATAGCATAATATTTTATTACATCATATATTATAGTATATTACATTATATTATATTTGATTGTATTATATTAATTTATATCATTATATATTATCTTATAGTTTTATTTGTTATATATATATATTACATTTGCTTATATATTAATATATATGTGTTTTAACTATATATTATGTATAATATTGTTTATTATTATAAATTGTATTATTTAACATTCTTACATATTATAATATAATAATGAATTTTATTAAAATGTATTATATTGTATTAAATTATATTATATTATAATGTTATATTGTATTATATTATATTATATTATATTATATTATATTATATTAAAATCATATTTTATTTATACTCGTATAGAAAATTGATTTATAGTTGGGTCATAAACTGCATGGTTATTATGTTGTTCTAATTCTAAATGCTATATGCACATGTTAGAATAGTCGGAAATTCAACATTGTCTGAGGTAACATCATGGTAATCTTCGCCATGACTTACGCCTTCGGCATCGAGACCTTCGAATGGACGAAGGTTTCCCTGTGGAATATCCTTTATTTTTGGAATCGGAAATGTCTGATTTTGAGGAGGCCCCTGGTAAGCAATTCCAAGATGTCAGAAAACAAGAAGGCATTGTTTTTCTGGCGTATCCTTCAGGAAGTCGATGTTAGGATATGTTTAAACACAGCAAGTTGGTTAAACGCTGGAGAGCACCCAAGCAACACAAATTGTGTTGCCATCAAGCCGGCGGAAAACTCAATGGATTTTTGTTTTCCATGTTGGATGGGAACATTTACCCTCCTGTAAACATTTATAGATGTGGAAAACCCCTGGTTTTGTTTACAATTTGTCGGAAAATTCTCTATTTTATGGTTTATTCTCCACATCTACATTAGTTCACCCTAGGCTACCCGGCAACTTTCATCGACTAAAAAAATGTGTTACCATTTTGATTTATTTTGGATGGGAATATCTACCAGCAAGGGGTCTCAAATTGGCCATGAAAAAAAAACACTGCCAGTTGGGCATCCTCTTAGTGATGCTGTTTGCAACTTGGAGCTGTGTGGATGGCGAGCTGTACCCTGGCAGCGGTGACCAGATGGTTTGGACTGGCGATGGATAGCTCTGGTAAGTAACCATAGGAAAACCATAGGGCAACCATAGGACAACCATGGGAAAATGGAGGTTTACTCTCTGGTAAACTAACATAACTATGGAAAATCAATGAAAATCACCATTTTTAATCGGTAAATCAATTGTAAATGGATATAAATGAAACTAGTTTTGGCCTGGCAGCCCACAATGTTGCAGCTGTTTCGATCCGTTTTACCCTGTGATGGAGGACCCCAGAATCATCCAAGATTTGAATCTCCATGCGGGGTTGCTCCAAGCTATTACCCATAGGATCCATGTATGCTATATATGGTAACATTTGGGGTATATTGATGGTAAAATATGGTAAATGTTACCATAAATAGCAGCACCATGGATCCTATGGGTATTACTGTACAGGCAAATTGTTGCTAGAAGGGTGGCAACTGAATTTTGATTTTTTCCATTCATTTTTTTTTTGCATCTGAATTTGGCAACTTGTCCACAATTTTTCCCCACGCATGTTTGGGATATTGGGAGCATGCCTGTCTATTTGCTTTGGGGTGTGCTTCCAGTTATTTATCGAAGGAAGTTTAAAAATCACATTTCCGACAACATGGACAGATGGAAAAAAAGCAGAGGTGGGAAGAGTCAGAGAAGAGAAAGGAAGAAGAGCGAAGATCAGAAAAGAGAAAGAGTAAGTCGAAAGAAGATCAAGGTGTGTGAAACGATTTTTCTATATATATATATATATTTAATAATGTTGGATCCTGATTAGTGTCGGGCCCCCCCCCTCCCTTAACAATTTTTAGGTCCTCTTTAATGTGGATTTTTTCCAGATTTCAATCCTGAATAGTGCGTGATCAAAAAAAATGATAGATTACAATTGATTTTCAATTGAGTTCAATTTACGTTCAATTGATTTTCAATTGAGTTCAATTTACTTTCAAGTGATTTCAATTTACCTTCAATTTACTTTCAATTGATTTCAATTTACTTTCAAGTGATTTTCAATTGATTTCAATTTACTTTCAATTGATTTCAATTTACTTTCGACTGATTTCAATTTACTTTCAACTGATTTTCAAACGTAAGTTCCATTGATTTCAATTTACTTTCAATTTATTCTTACTTTACTTTCAATTGTTTTTCAATTGATTTCAAGTTACGTTCAATTGATTTTCAACTGGTGCCAACTTACTTTCAATTTTTTATTCAATTGATTTCAATTTAGTTTGAATTTATTTTCAATTGATTTCAACTTACTTTCAATTGACATCCGATAGTAATACCATAGACATATCATAGAAATATCATGGAACCCCCACAGGAATCCCACAGAAACCCCATAGAAGATCATAGAAATAACATGGAACAGCATAGGAACCACAAAGAAATTCCATAAATAATTCCCATAGTAATCCCATAGACATACCATAGAAACATCATGGAAATACCTTGGAAATCCCACAGGATTCCCACAGGAATCCAATAGAAACATCATAGAAATATCATAGAAACATCATAGGAATACCATAGAAATCCCATAGGAATCCAATGGCAATCCCAGAAGAATACCATAGAATTCCCATAGCATCCTTCAGAAATCCCATAGAAATCCTCCAGAAATATCATAGAAACATCATGGAAACTCCATAGAAATCCAATAGGAATACCATAGAAATACCATACAAGAAAACAACTTTAGCAAAGGAAAAGGTAACAGGAATGTTTGACAAAACAATCACCTCAGGAAGCAGCTGGGCACAATAGTGGACCCCCAAAACAAACATACAATTTTGGATCAGGGTTGCTCATGGAGTACCCCCTTGAACAATTGTTTGGATGCTGTTTTCTTTAATTGGTTTTAACAAGGCATCCTATATATATATTTATTTTTTCTCCTGATGGGTCACAATTAACCTTTAAAAAATGTTTCTTCAGACAGCAGCTAGACACAATAGTGGATCCCCACAGCAAACATATTATTTAGGATCAATATTGTTCATGCAAAACAACATTTGTTTACTTACAAAATAACTTTAAAACATAAACAAATAATTACAACATATCAAAACTTGAAATAAATTAATCAACAAGATAAACAAAAAGTTAAAACAATTCAAAACAAAACTGAAAAACTTACCCCAAAAAAGTGAACCCCCCCATCATTTCCACAGATCCAGAATTATTTTGGAGTCTGGGGACACAATAGTGTACCCCCACACTAATCAGGAGCCAACATTATGTGTAAATATACAGATGCTAGTCACTTTCAACTGGAAATGCACCCCAAGTGAAGGCTCGAAATTCCGAGGAATTTCAACATCGCGGGCTTCCTGGTTCAAGTGACTGCCGGCGTGTGCGAGGCCACGAAAACCATCCTGCAATCCTTGCTGTTGGCAGGCCGCTGGAGCTGGTGAATCTGTGCTCAGCCAACATCCCCAACCAACTGGATGGGTATTTCTGATCCTCTAATCTTATTGCTATATAAAGGAAAATAAGAAAATAACCAGCAATATGTATATATATATATATATGTAGGTATGTGTGTGTGGACTACCAGAAATTGTTCGTGCAAATGGCGATGGAGAGAGAGAGAGAGAGAGAGAGAAACATCAAGCATATGGCAGGGCAAAAATAGGGATTAAACACCAAAAACGGTGATACCATATATAGAGGCTGTAACGGGATATGATTGGGTTCATGCGGACAAGTTTTAACAACAATCACGTCGCGATGTCACAAAAAATAATGGTTGGGGTGTATGGGAATTTACGAGGGTCAAAGGCCGAACATTTCAGGTTGGTGAATTGCTACAATTTATCCAGAATAATGGGGATAAACAACCAATTATAATTAGAATACGTTATTGTTGGTACCCTCTGGCAAACTAACATAGCTATGGAAAATCACCATCTTTAATGGGAATTACCAGAGGGTATATGTCACCAACTTCATATGGTATGACTGGGTGTGTTTGAAATGTGTGCGTCTACTCCCGTTTCACAACCCAACTTGAATATTTTCACATGTTGATCATGCATTGGAATTGAGGGTACCAGGTTACCAGTACCCTATCTTCAGAGATTCACCCATGTGGTGAATCTGTTGCTTATGAAACTACAATAAACTACCACACATATATATATGTATATGTGTGTGTGCCCTTAGATGTAAGTTGTGATTTTTTTGTAATGTGCGTATGTAATTTTAGAACGTTGTTTAAGTATATTCATATATGTTCAACTAGTGTAATTCATGTTAAACTTCTAACCACAGATAGGGAAATATAAGGTGAAATAGGACATATGTCAAACAAAAAGCAAAGATTAAAAAAATGACGAAATACCTGCTGTTTGGCATTGAAACCGATGTTCGTCACTACAGGGACAGTTTTCCACCTCAAACGAAACACTTTTGTTTGCAAACATGGTTGTGGCTGCAAATTTGACATGCATAGACTGTCTAGATTTTTCAGCCTGAGACGATGTTAGGACCCTTGCAGTGTTTTTTGCTTAAGGTTATACTTTTAGGATGTGTTTCCTCATGTTTCCTCAAAACTACGGACACGCGAATGTGTTGCCCCCATTGACATGCATTCTCATAAGGGAACCTCTGTGTGTGCGTGTGCGTGTTTCATATCCAACCCCCAAAATGCCACGAAGCGCGTATGTCATGTGTGAAAAATAACATGTTAAACATGTGTTTTCTTGTGTTTCTTACAAGATGCTCTCGGCAGAAGTTCCTAAAACCGCAACCTGCGTGGACCAATGCCACTGCGGAAGTACAGTCATGTTTAAAAACCATGAACACCTTTACCATGTCAAAGAAAACAATCACGGAAACAAAAACAGAAAAAACGTGGAGCGGCTAAGACCGTCCGAAAAGCAAGACTCACATCGGAAAATTGGAAAAACAACATTTAACATGAATCAACAACAACAACAACAACAACAAGAAGGTACAAACAAACACTGGGACCCCGTTCTCTCTATATCTCCCTTTTTGTTTCTACCCTTAAGGGTACAAACAAACACTGGGACCCCGTCGTTGTTATTTAGGGGGGCCCCCCCCAACAACAACAACAACAACAACAACAACAACACATACCGTTTAGTTCTGGCAGTGCTGGACCCCTTTTTGAGCCGTGAGCGGCCGAGATCCTCCAAAAAGGGGGCCCCCGCCACATCAGTTCAGACCTTTACCTTTTTCCAGGCGCTTGACCCCTTATTGCGCCCTGAGCGGCCGAGATCCTCCAAAAAGGGGCGCCGCAACCTGACATCAAACGTGCTGCCATTTGGTTCTTCTCAGTGCCTTTGCCACACATAGAGGCTCTACCCCTGTCAGCTCTCTCGGTTCCTGTGTGCTTGTCTGCTTGTCAGGGTTGCTTTCTTTTGGCAGATCCCTTTCCCGAAACACTGTTCGGAATGACGTTTGCCGAGCACACCTTGCACACCAGGCTGGCCTAGCTTAGTTGGTAGAGCACATGGCTCTTAACCTAAAAGTCGAAGGTTCAACCCCGCCTTGGGTCATGTGTCCTTATCTACCGCTGGACCCCTTTTCCAGCCATGAGCGGCCGAGATCCTCCAAAAAGGGGGCCGCCGCCACATCAGTTCAGACCTTTACCTTTCCCTCAAGAAGAAGAACACGAACTACCGTGCAGGCAAAGGCCAGCAGGAAAGAAAGGCACATGACCCGAGGCGGGGTTGAACCTTCGACTTTTAGGTTAAGAGCCATCTGCTCTACCAACTGAGCTAGGCCAACCTGGTGTGAAAGGTGTGCTCGGCAAACGTCATTCCGAACAGTGTTTCGGGAAAGGGATCTGCCAAAAGAAAGCATCCCTGACAAGCAGACAAGCACAGAGGACAGGAACCGAGAGAGCTGACAGTGGTAGAGCCGGTAGAGCCTCTATGTGTGGCAAAGGCACTGAGAAGAACCAAATGGCAGCACGTTTGATGTCAGGTTGCGGCGCCCCTTTTTGGAGGATCTCGGCCGCTCACGGCTGGAAAAGGGGTCCAGCACAAGGAAAAAGGTAGAAATCTGAAATCAGATGCTGCTGGACCCCTTTTTGGAGGATCCGGAACGCCGGCAGCACAAAAAGGGGTTCAGCAGCTAGAAAATGAAAAGCTAAAGTATGGAACTCCAAGCGAACAGGCTGCGGGACCCCTTTTTGCCAGATTTGGGCTGCAGGATCCCCAAAAAGGGCTCCAGCGGCTAGAAAATGAAAAGCTAAAGTATGGAACTCCAAACGAACAGGCTGCGGGACCCCTTTTTGCCAGATTTGGGCTGCAGGATCCCCAAAATGGGGTCCAGCAACCTGAAAAATCACACTGATACAAAGCGAACCTGCTGGACCCCTTTTTGCCAGATTTCGACGCCAAAAAGGTACAAAAAGGGTCCCAAGAAGCTTTTACAGAGGTAAAAAAAAGAGCCAAAAGTCTGCACCAATTTTTTTTTTTAAAACGGTGCCAAACTCCAAGGACACCCTTAAGAAGCACAAAGCAAATTCCAACATAAGCTCGAATACCTTATTCTAAGGGCCCCAGTCTTTGTTTGTACCAACAACAACAACAACAACAACCGGATAATATAAAAGCTGCTAGCAGGCTAGCGTAACAAAAAATCAACAACAAATTTCCCAAGGCGTCCTTTTACAAGTCCCGGTAAGTCCAACTTAACTCAGGTCACAACCGTACAATAATGTTCGATCTTGGGTAGCACAATACTCATTTGAAATTACCAACAGCTGTGATTCCCTAACGACGCAAGAGTCGTGATCAAGTCCATTTGCCAAAGTAGTGTGCCTGGAATTTGCTGCTTTGCTTGGAAACAGACGGCGCGCCAACACACCAATTTACCTCCATTGTTTCAAAGGCGAATGGAGGAGCAAAAACTTTTGAAACTTTGTTTGGATACTTCTAGAAGAATGGCTTAAAGTTAACCTTTTTTTTCGGTGCAGAATCTGAGATAATCTGAGGCTCGGGTCTGCCAACCAAAACAATATCCCAACAGGAACTTCATGTGTTCCAAGAAGGTGATGGTGAAACTCAGCCAGGCAAAGGATTCAAACTGGATCCTATGTCCATGGTTTTAACCTTGATGCCCATGTGTGGACTGCTATTGTCTGGTGTGTTGCTGGGCTGAATGGGGCTGAATGGTCAACGTGAACGGAATCACCACTGGAATTCCTGGGGTAGTTCTGCTGATTTGACCAATTTGATGCTTGACGAACGGAATTTGACTGGATTAAGGAGTAGGGAAGCAGCCTGTCTCGCTTACAGGGCTGTCATGAGATGAAATTGACGGGGGCTTCAGTGACCATGGACACCAAGCTCTGGGAGTTATATCAGCTAATCTGGGTCTCAACCGCCTCAACCCCCTGATAATTTGATATCCAACCAGTTTTAGATGTTTTAGGGTTTTCACCCAACCCACCAATTCCATGTGTTTTTTTTGATATAAGCTGCCTTGGATGTTTACAGAGGAACATAAGGAACCATGATGTTACGATGACCTTTCCGGTTATAGGATGTCTAAATTGGTCGGTACAACAATGGTAAAATCCCATGTTTGTTGGCAACATCTGGTATCTATTGTCATGTGATTTTTCCCGTATATTTGAAGGTAAGAAAAAAACCCATGGTTTCCTGAATTTCAAAGCCAACGTCCAGCCATCGTTGAGAAAATTGATACCCTCTGGTAAACTTACATAGCTATGGAAAATCACCATTTTGAATGGGAAAATCCACTATTTCAATGGTCATTTTCAATAGCAAACTGTTAAATTACCAGAGGGTATGTCCAATCCTCTATGGCAATTACTTGGGATCTTTGGGGGCCACCCCAGCTCCAGCTTTCCGTGTTGATCACATCACCATTTCAATGCCTTCCAGAAAATCCCAGCTCAGTTGTTAACGCCACTATTTATAGTGATGTTAGCTCATATTCAATATAAACATATAAACCCCAATCAGTGGCGGTCTTTTGAAGAATTATATGCCCAATATTTCTTCAAAACCCCCATATGTTTCACATTAAATTCGTCAAAGAATGCACAACTCCCCATCTCCGTCTTCATAAGTTCTACGAGTCTTCTATGGCCTGGCTAAGACAGGTCTTCTATAGCCTAGCTAAAAATCACTAAAAACCAACTACAAGTGCAGTCCAAAAAGGACACCTACAATCTTTCGTTTACAACGGCCCTTGATCCATCGGTGTGCTCCCAGGTTGATCTTCCACATCTTGCTGCTGCCCTTGAACTTCGTGAAACTCCCCAGTTGGGACGAGGTCTGGGTGTGGCGGGTCCTCTTAGCCGCCAGCATTTGCAACGCCTTTGCCCTTCGGCTGCGTCAGAAACAGGTCGAGATGGGCCATATGGGCCCCTGAGAGAGAGAACCCCAAGGAGTTTTAAATTGAGAAACAGCGGTATAGAATGGTATAGATACCTGTATCACATTATAATCATTATATCACCCTAAATCTTAAATCAGGTTTGCTTCATGCGATGGGTTGAGATTCTGTAGCCCTTTTGACAATGCTGATGCTTCAGTACCCGGTACCCTTCAGAATCCAGTAAACTAATCCAATGATGGCATGGTTGATCTCCCATGCCGCCTGATGAAACATGTTGAAACCCTATTTTTTTTGAAGATCAACATCTTCCCATTCCCATAGGATCCATGGTGCTGCTATCTATGGTAACATGGATCCCATCAATATACCCCAGTCATGTTAGCATATATACCAGCACCATGGATCCGTCATGGGATTTAAAATGATGGCCATAGATTCGGAATAAGATCCCAATCCATTGGTCTGAAAAAGCGGAGACAGGCTGGGCCAGCAACTGCTTTCCCGCTGAGGTGCTGAACGTAGCCATTGCAGTGTTCCTGAAGTATCTCTCACCAGTGGTGTATGTCCTGACAGGCGACGGGGATCGACTCGATTCATTTCTCTTAAGTCACTTTTCGTCATGTGGCGACGTGTCACTGTTCGAACACTGGATGGTTAGGATTGGGGGGAATGATCCTCAAGATAGCATGATTACAGGTAGTGAAATACTGGTTGGTGGTTTGGAACATGTTTTATTTTTCCATAGATTGGGAATGATGATCCCAATTGACTCATATTCTTCAGAGGGGTAGGTCAACCACCAACCAGATAAAAATCAGGTAGTGAAATATATGTTTGTTTGCCCTGATCATTTTATGCCTAAATATCTATCGTATTTCAACATCATACAAACACATCCCCAGAGATGCGAAAATAGATGATGCTTTCCGTTGGTTAGCCCACGAAACTTCTTTACCGGAGTCACATGAGTTGGATGTTAAACACATACCCATAGATTCCGAATCGATGGTCCATGAAAAAAAACACCAGCATTCACCGGCCACGTTCTTTTTCTGGGGATCCCTGTGAAATTTACCCTCTGGTTATTTAACATATAGCTATTGAAAATGGCATTTTTTATGGGAAAATCCACTATAAATCACCATTTTCAATAGCTATGTTAAATTACCAGAGGGTAGCCCAAACAAAAATAATGGCCTTGCTCTTTCTATGCTCGGTAGCAACCCATTTTTCCAATGTTGGGTTGCTGGGTACCTTGGCTGACTCCAGGAAACATCAAGGACATAGTGGTGGTCTGCATGTCAGCCTTTCTGATCGGCGAACCTATCAGCTCCTTGCAGATCTTGGGCTTCAGCACGCAGGTGCTTTGCGTCTTCGCGTGGACGAGCTACAAGCACAACGGCCAGTTGGTCCCCAAGGCTCCTGGACAGAAAAAAAACACCATCGAAATGGCTATGGCTATGGCGGCTATGGGATTATGGTGGCTGATCTTGTAATGGTAGTAATGATGGATCAGAATCCTTCGTACTGGTTCCGCGGTGCTTAGTAGTAATTTAAATACATTCAGGGTCAGTGAGTCAGGGTTTTCATAGGAAATTACTTGTATTCAGACGGAAAGTTAATATTTAATAGTGCTTAATAGTGGTTAATGAATGTTAATGCTGTGTATAAATTCATGGGCAATATGTTGGGCAACGGTTGGTAATGGTTAGTGATGTTTAATACTGGCCGGTGATCCTAGAAAACCTACTCCGGTTTTAATCGCCCATGGCCGCCTGGCGAATCAAACATGGCACTGGAACATCTCCCTGTTGATTATCGGAGGTTATACCCCCATTGCAATTTTCAATGGGGGGTCAAATGATCAGCAAGTAGTGGATTCAAGGGTTTTCCCTGCCCTACATGTTCAGACAATAAGCTATATATATATGTTTTTTTCACTGGGCCGGACTGAGACGAGAGCAGATGTTTGTCGCTGCTCAGGAACTTCTATTAGAGGCCTTCGAAGCAGAATCTTGGGCTATGCTGAAGCTGTAGGGCTAAAATGCATGGGCAATTGGAGATTTCTTTCCAGTTGAGCTTGAGAGCATGCAGACGCACCACATCACGTTTATACATTGTTTTTGTTTATTCCAGTACCGTTCTAAATGAAGGCTGTTGCTGTTTTGTTTTTTTCATCAGGCCCGAATGAAGGTCAAGAAGTCGCATGTGAGACAACACACATGTTTGAGGTCTCGACTGATTCTGTTGATTACAACCTATTTTAGCACGCACACGCACACACACACACCAAGTCTCACATGACATGCACTGATATTGATGATTCTTTCTGAATCAGTTGCGCAAGTATGACTGGGTTGTTACCGGAGGTTCTCCCATCTCTCCATTATGCTTGGGCCGAGCATGGGGTGCGCCCAAGGAGAAGAACCCTGAGTCCATTGAAGCCTTGAAATGAAACCTTGAACCTCCATGCGATGGATCAAAATGGGTGGAACTTACCGGGAGACGCCCAATTTGTGGAACATTTTGCACATCGTTTTGGCATTTTATAAGACCTTCAACCGAGAATCACCGAGAAATACTGTGGTGTTATGTGTCTGTGTTTGTTTTGAAAAGGGACACTGATCTCACTCCTCCTCCTAATCATCAGCATCATCAAGACAATATAGTCTAATCAATCAAAAACAATAAGATGGAGAAATAATAAGAATAATAGTAAACAAAATAATATGTCAATGACTATGCTACTACAAATAATAGTTATGACATGTTATGACTATGACCATCATGTGTTTCCTCCCTTGGGCCTCGCTAGGCTCGCAACACTTTGGCACTCGTGGAGGCGACGCTACGCTTGAACGCCACCGGAAACACGGTGACACCCTTGGTGCAGCGCCTCGTATTTCAGGCGGGCCCGTGGGCTGCAAGAATTGAAGTCAAGGGGATCTGACGGACACCATAGCAAAATGAATCTCATCCTAATATTAAACATGCCTCAAGAAACCATGGTATATTTAAGGAGAATTTTTAGGTGGTGTATCATATTAGGCGGAAGGGATTTAAAATGACCAAAAACGACCAGTATGTAAATGAAATTTAAGTCTTCATCATTACCAAATATCAATGGGATGTATTAGACGTACCCAATTTAAAGATCCCAACTCATCTCCCTAATCTCTCGTTGGTGACCACCTTTGGGACCATCGTTGACGGGGCAGGCAAGTGTTCTTGAAGAAGCTTTCTTGGTGCGTGGCTTGGCCTTCGGCAGACATTTCGGCAGACTGTCATGGCTTGGTGAAATCGCATTCTGTGGCACATCCGGCAGATGATGTGAAGATAATTGAAGTGTTTTTTTTTTCAGAAGCGTCATCTCAATTTCATATCAACTGTGTTTCAGCAGCATTTCTCAGTCCTTCTCTGTATAGACGAGCCTGTGGCCGCTGTCGTAGCGTGACGAAGCTCCATTGGGATGTGGTTCTGGGGATACCCCCTCCCCAGTTTCATGGGGATTTCCATAAATGGGGGTACCCTCTGGTAAACGTTTACATAACTATGGAAAATCACAATTTTCAATGGGTAAATCCACTATAAATGGCCCATTTTCAATAGCTATGTTAAATTACCAGAGGGTACCCCAATGGATGGCTTATAATTAATGGAACATCTTATTGCAATGGATGATTTGGGGGTATCCCCATTTTAGGAAACCTCCAAATAAGCCCAAACATAGTTCTGGTTTAGGATTGGAGTTGCTCATTTTGGGGGCCCAATGTCGGGGTACCGTATTTAACATGCGGGTGATTACCACTGACATTCACTTGGATTTGGGATTTGTTGAATGTTTGAAAACCATAGAACACCTGTTAAAACATGTTAAAACAGTTTCTCCTTCAACAAACCCGGAATCATCCTGCAACTATCGTGGCTGCCAGGTCAGTCTATCATGCAGGCAGTGCTGGAGGGAAAGTTCGACGATATCGAACTGTGGGCCGAACAAGCTCAAACCTTGGGTGAGGACTTGGGGTTCTCTAAATGCGGCACGCGCACGAAGAAAATGAAGACATTTGGTTCAGTCTGTGTGTCCAATGTTGTACGTTCTGCCTGCAATACATTGAGTATATATTTTTTGGTTCAGCAGGAGTCAAATTTGTTGACGTTGCATTGCGATGCATTGCGTAGTTTCAGAGAGAGGTGGCCCAGGGAGATCCAATGTTGTGGCCAACCAAGTTGAACCTTCACTTGCAGAGTCACCACTGGACAGGTTGTTTTTGGTAGACCATGTCAGTATTTCGTCTCAAGACTTCAAAGCTTGGATTGAACATATCATAGCTTGAGTTCAAAATGGTATGTCACGTGAACCATCACTGATCAAAGATCAGTCACCAGTCATATCTAGGGTTAAAATTCTGATTGACATTTGAAGACTTACCCTCTGATAACTTAACATAGCTATTGAACATGGCCATTTATAGTGCATTTTCCCATCAAAAATTGTAATTTTCCATAGTTATGTTAGTTTACCAGAGGGTATCATCAGTTGTTTTGGGATATGCCCATTCTTGTCGGCTTGGAGTCGAGTCCGGCGCAGTTTTTTCGTGCAGGCCAATGTCTTCAGGTTCTTGCAAAGCTAAAGGTGGTCGATGATTGCAGGTCCTTTATTAATGTGGTAAGGCCAATGATAAACCGTCCCCAATTTCATTTGCAAACCCTCCATTATTGGATGTTTATTGCAGTCGCCGTACCATACAATCACATTACAACGTGTTCCCAGCTGCATTTGTTGGTTCGTTCACCCCCTGACCCCCCAAGAAAACAACAACACACTCTGTTCCAGGACCTGCATTTGGAGCTGGCGTATGCAGATCGCTTGCGACAGGCGGAAGATTCCAATGGGAAGCCGACCGGTCTAAGAAATTGTGATGACGACCTCAGAAAACCTGACCATAGACTACCATAGATGGTTTGTTGATATCATTGCAAAAGTGCTCTGCTTTAGGATGAAGTGCACATTTGCTTTCCAGGTGTCTACATAGCATGCCCGGATTAAGCTTTTTTTGGACAAATCAGCAGCGGATTCGGAGTCAAATGGATTGGACACGTCAAAGTGGTGTCCTTGTGAAATGGACGTCCAAAAGAGACTGGTCATTTCAGGAATCCATTTGTTGGAATTACCTACCATGTAAACAAGGTCTATATGTAAGGGCTATGTAACGGAAATCACCAAAATATAACTTGATATGGTAGAGTTCCAGTGAATGGGTCCTAACCTTCCCATGGATTCCCATTGATTTTTTGGACCCAACACGCCAACACGGCAAAACCCTAAGCACGCAGTGTGAGTTGCTAACCATTCTATATAATATCTGGTTGGTGGTTTGGAACCATGGAATTTTATGACTTTCCATATATTGGGAATTTCATTATCCCATCTGACAAACTCATATTTTTCAGAGGGGTAGGTATACCACCAACCAGATATATATATATATACGTATGTATATATATATATTACAGTGTGGAAGGCTATTTGCATCTATCTATCCCATTTTTCCATCTATTTTATCCACGTGTATCTCACCCAACGTATCTTTGTTCAATATGTTCTGTTCTTTTCTATCAAATCTCATCTAGTCTAAATCTATAAAAACAAAAACAACAAGTTCATTGTAATGCGGGGCCCATGTCCCAACCCCATCCAATCCCCAGTTGCTTGTCCTTCTTGCAGGCCAGCCAGCAAACTTCCAAATCCTCTTCCTCCAGCTGGTCCACCGGCTCGCCAGACGATGACGCCGCCGGCGACCACGGGCGTGGAACCACTCGGGAGGAGCACTGCAAGGCTGGCGCGGGGGCTGGGAGGAACTGTGAGGAACGGCTACGAGTGGGTTCTAGAATGGTTACAATGTTATACAGATACATCTTATAGTTATTGGATGTTATTATTGGATGTTATTGGGATTGGCGTCCAGGTTGTGAGAACCTCATGAGTTTGCCACGCGCTACTGTATATCTGTTTGGTCGTTTTTTTTGGCAGTCCCCAAAGAATTGGAGGGGAAGATCCAAACTCATGCACTTGATATTGCCAAGGAGGATGGATTCGGCCAATACACGAGCAGCAGAATTGACTTAGATTTCAGGTTCCAACCAATGATTGGCTGATGGTTGCTGGGTAGTGAGCCTTCTATTAGCACATTGTTGTCCGCACCCAGGATCCAGAACCAACAAACCATAAACTTGTGGCTGAGATGGGTAGGCACCACAAATAACCCCTCTAGCAAAAGAGATGCGTTGGCTATGCCCCAGGATACGTCGAAACACTCCTGGGACTGCAGCACCACGCATCCACACTCCCCGCAATCCGCCGAGCCCACACCGCGGCCGGAACCCGCGGAACCAGCGGAGCAGCAACGGCGCGATCCCGCGCCGTACGCTGCCAGTGGGGTGCAACTGAAACATGCCAAGTGGAGGGCAGCTGAGACACTCAGCATTGACTCAGCAGCCAATTTGTGATGGTTTTTGTGAAGTTTTTTTAAGGCCTAAAAAAAAGGCTCCGAGGTGATTTTGGGCTCAAAGCTTCAGAACATTTCTTCTTAGATTTAGGATGGAACCCATGTGACGTGATGTGGCAATAATTGACAATAATATGTGCCATATAGGTGCGTGGAATTTGTCTTGTGGGCACCGGTGCTCACGAAATAATTGAGTAATTTTCTCTATGTGTAACATGTCAATTATATTTGAGAATTAATTCTTCATTTCCGTTCTTCCCAACGCTTGAAGCCCGTACTTCGGACCACTGAGGAGTGCAGAGATGCGGCATATTATCTACCCAAGTCCATCCAAGTCCCGGAATAGGCTGTAGTGATATGTTGTGGTCCCAATGGCTGTATCGACAACAGCCACTCAGTACCTAGTAGGACCTGCTTTGTCGGTCAACTAAGGCGGCCGGCAGAGGGGCCTTTTCCAGAGTCCAAGAGGTGCATGGGGGGGTGGCTTCTACAAGGGATTGGACAACCCAGTTTTCCATGTAAAGATGTCTAATGTTGGTAAAGCAATCATAAGCCATCCCGCAACATCCCATAATGTTGGGCTCTGATTAGTGTAGGCCCCACCAAACAAATTGAGTACTCCACCACTAACTCGCGTTTTTTTTGGCGACCAGGTCTGGGAAACTCAGGATGATCCAATCTATTAATCCATCTACTTTCAATTTATTTTCCTTTTAAACCTCAAAGAAATCTATTGATAAGAAAAGATTTCAATTGAAATCAGTGTACTTACAATTCATTTGAATCTACTTTCAACTGATTGTTCTGTTGTTCACCTCAGCACGGGTTTCTCAGCTTGTGAAGGCTCAAATCCATCAAAAAGTAATAAAATAATTGAAGTATTAAAGGGACCAGCTTTATCCAAAGAAATGTAGATCAAGGTTTTCGTTTTTTTTGTTCACTTCCAAAAGTTGTTGTGAACAATAGGGTGCCATCCAAGCAATTATATTATTGAGGATCTGAGCCATTCATGGGGTATGACCTTGAAAAAAATGTTTGGGTGCTGTTTTTCAATAAGGGTTTAATAATGCATCTAATTATTTGGGGAAAGTAAATGGGCCAGCTTTATCCAAAGAAAGGTGGATAAAGGTTTTTGTTTTTTTTCACTTCCAAAAGTTGTTGTGCACAATAGGGTACCATCCAAACAATTATATTGGATCTGAGCCATTCATGGGGTATGACCTTGAAAAAAAATGTTTGGGTGCTGTTTTTCAATAAGGGTTTAATAATGCATCTAATTATTTGGGGAAAGTAAATGGGCCAGCTTTATCCAAAGAAAGGTGGATAAAGGTTTTTGTTTTTTTGTTTACTTCCAAAAGTTGTTTTGGACAATAGGGTACCATCCAAACAATTATATTATTGAGGATCTGAGCCATTCATGGGGTATGACCTTGAAAAACATGTTTGGGTGCTGTTTTTCAATAAGGGTTTAATAATGCATCTAATTATTTGGGGAAAGTAAATGGGCCAGCTTTATCCAAAGAAAGGTGGATAAAGGTTTTTGTTTTTTTGTTCACTTCCAAAAGTTGTTTTGGACAATAGGGTACCATCCAAACAATTATATTATTGAGGATCTGAGCCATTCATGGGGTATGACCTTGAAAAACATGTTTGGGTGCTGTTTTTCAATAAGGGTTTAATAATGCATCTAATTATTTGGGGAAAGTAAATGGGCCAGCTTTACTCAAAGAAAGGTGGATAAAAGGTTTAGCTGGGAGAGACATGCAAATAAAAAAATGTATTTTTTTTTCTTGGACCCTTTATTTCCTCCTGAAAAAAATGGATCTCAGAAAAAACTTCTCACACTAGAGCCCCACCCCAGACAAACGGCAAGATACTCAATTGGTGAGGAAAAAAACTCACAATAGGGAGCCAGGACATTAATCGGAGGCCAACATGAAATGGGTGCTATATGACTATATGGTGCTATAAACCATCGAAATATGGCTGGTTTATCAGTGCTTTACAAACAGGAAAAAAAATCCGGCTGTGGGCCTCACAAGTTGCGGATTTGCCCCGTGTTGCTCAGGTGCTTTCCTGAGTCTGCCTCCTTTCCCCGCTTCACGGAATATGAGCAACGACGCGCCAAAGAACGCCGGAGTCCAGAGGCGCTATAGCCGCTAGTTGTCGGCGTTCACAGCCCTCCGGAAAGCATGGTTTAACAGGGGGATTTAGACATGTTTGGGAAAAAAAAGGGGGTGCTTTATATTATAGGGGGGTGGCAACCTGCAAGTCCTACCCAAGTTCGAATGACCATGCAGGGTTTAACTCATGTGTTTCTAGTTGATTGGTGAAGATGTTGACCTGAAGTAAAAGAAGCAATGATGATTTGTTCAAATTAATGATCAGTATCATACATTGTTGCTATACATTGATTCTATGTGGTTTACATAAAACATTCCTGTATAGTCTAGTCTAGTAACTAGTACTTGTTGGTATTTTATTGGTAGGACATGGATCCTCTTGATTTATAGCAGAAATGGCAGAACATGTCATTTTGGTCGGGCACTCCAGTCTCTTGGGCCCAGGCGGATTGGGACTACCTTCAGGCAAAAGCAGAGCAGCAGCGCTACACCGCATTTCAGCCCCTTGGACGTTGATTTGCGCCATGCTTTGCCAGATGGTCATGTTCCAAAAATGGTGTTTCATTGACATGTACTTTGCCATGGCTTCAGCCGTCCTTTCCCTCAAGTAACATACACTACACCAGCACAAGGCTCTGATTTTAAATGATATGAACCCATTGAGCACGATCAGAAACTTTGGCTGCATTGAACGTATTTATTGGGTGCTATATAGGAGACTTTGACATGAGGATGAAGCTGGTGATTTCATGTTAAAACCGCTAAGTGTTGTGGGTTAAACATGGTTAAACCATGGTTAAACCTTGTTAAACCATGTTAAACCATGTTAAACCATGTTAAACCATGTTAAACCATGTTAAACCACAGTGTTTGACATTTCCCATGGGGCAGCGCCAAGGCCCACCAAGGGCCCCCGCCCTGGCCGCCCGGCCAGCGCCCCAGCGCGTGGCCGCGAACGCGAGCCTGCGGGCGCAGGTCGCGCGGCGGTGCATGCAGCCCATGCAGCCCATGCAACAGCCCAACGGACGGCTACGCGGGCGAAGGCACAAAGCCTCTTCGGAAGCTGGTGGAAGTACGGAGCCCTAGAGAGTCCTGGGTTGACATGGCAGTTCCAGCATGTTCCAGCTGACAAGTCCATCGTGGCCCCACCATCGTCGGCTTCTCTTCCTCATCTACCGCATCCGGGCCTCGCATCCATTTCTTTGAGGAATTGACTACAGCCCTTGTATAAGTCAAAAAAGACATGTTTCGAAGTTATACGTGCACATTTATGTCTTTACACATGTACAGCTGGTAGTAGTAGTTTGGCCACCAGTGCGGACAGACATCATTTTGACAGAGGAAATCCAGAGATTTCCTTTTTAGTCCACCACCACCACCACCATCATCATCATCCTCCTCCTCATGCTCAGCCAAGCAACGTGTTTGTGAAACATAAAGCAAGACCAAACAAACAAGAAAAACAAAAATGACGGTAGAACAAACGCTGGACCGCCTTCAGTCTGTGGCTGAAGTCTTGGAGAGGGCGATGGAGAAGAAGGTTAAAGAATGTTAAAGAACAAACAAACAAATACTAAGCCTAAGCAACAAATACAAATGCTGGTAGAACATGGTAGGACTTTTTATACAATTATAATCGTGATAATATTATATATATATATATTGTATTCTCTATAGGTGTATAGCCCAATAATTTTTAGCTATAAGTTGGATTTTTAACTTTTGAAAAATAAGTATGGTTTATGCCTCACTATGGTATGAATGAATGGGGAAAAAAACACAAAACATGGGGAACCAACCGCATGCAGCACCTCAGGTCCTGGATGGGCGCCGCCAAGGATCCGCCGAGCGACTTCCCTCGGGACGTGCCCGGCGACCGCGGCGACCGCGGCGACCGTGCGGGGCGACGGCCGCGGGAGGAGCAGGGACGGCTGGTGTCGAAGGCGTGGGGGAAGATGGGGGTTGCTATGGGATTTTATAGGGTTTGACATGGGATGGGATTTGAATTTTGGAAAGTAATACTGTTTGACATGGGATGTTTTTTTTGGGGGGGAAATTAGATGATTTGATGGCATTTAGTGGGACTTAATATTGGTTGAAGAGTTCAATGGATATTAACTTTCTACTTTGATATTATAGCATTGATCTTTGATATATTTTGATGTTAAGCCGATAAACCACCGCTTTATTAATAGGTGAGTGAGGGTACTAATTTTACTGTATTAGTAGTTTATCGCTATTTTGGTGGTGGGCCCAACTAATCAGGGTTCTTATCCGGGGCTGACATTATTGTACGGGAATTCATATTTGGTTTATATAATTGAAACCGGAATAACAATGTGGATTTCTCCAACGTCCCCCCCCTGCAACTTGGATACATGTAAAAGCCAAGCAACTAAACATTTGGTCAGGCCCTTGATTTTTGTCAAAAAGGATGGCTTATTTTAGCAACGATCAATGCTGCAATGAAATCCAAGTAGCCCAACCAAATCCAAGGGACTGTGATCTGTAGTGGCCCTAAGCGTGCATTTGTGCAGATGTGCACCCCAACGGGTTACGGGTTAGACCCCAACGTTCATCCAAAGAGCCGGCCTCCTGTCACCAGGGCTTTGCGAGCCCCTTTCTCATTGTTTCTAAGTCAAGCTGCTGTATACTGGTCATATATTGACCATGTTAGTCAATGCTTTCCAGCTTTGTTCCTTCCCAGCCTTGCCACTACGCCACAGGTGGAGTGCCGCGAGAGCGACTTGATGATTTTGGGTTTCGCGCGCACTGCGAAGCCAACCCCGGAAGAGCTGAAGAAGGCTTACAAGGCCGGGAATCTCATCACAGCTAGCGCTAGCTGAATGGAGCTATGGGTATTCTTTATTATATACAGTAAATGATTTAAATGGGTTAAAAAAGGCACTATTCATTGAGCTTTCCAAGAAGTTAGAGTAATCAGGTGGTTGCTGAACTAGGTGAACCACAGCAACTCTCTGGAGATGCTGCTGATATGAAATTTGGGAAGTTGGTGATATTTAGCCAATAAAGATGGCTGAAATATTATGCTCAGGAAATGGTAGAATGGTTTTGAAGGCGAGAGAGAGATAGGTGGATGGATGGATGGATGGATAGATAGATGGATAGATAAAGAGCTAGTAAAAAAGATAAATACAGAGCGAGAGTCAGCGATAGAGACAAATAAGTAACTTGGCTTGTTTTGCCTCGCATTGCAGTAAACTGCAAATGGGGACGGTCCAAGATGAAACACCTGCCTCGATGGGCGGGATGACCGGCAGCAAGAAGGTACTCGAGGTGGCTGTATGGTATTGTATGACATGTATGCAAAATAAGATCAAACAAGCACAAAAATAACTATATGTACTTTTGATATCTTTTGATTGAGCGTGTGTTGGTGGATTTTTGTTGGGAGCAGCCACTCAGCGGCTCAGCTACTCTAGCAGAGTGGGTGGCTGCTTCGATTCATCGTACCGTGCTCCTCATACCCTGCATGCATACGTCGAACATTTCACATGCAGTTATTTGACTTATGCATATGAAAATTATACATGATTACATGTACGTATTGAAGACGTGTTTTGTGTGTCTTTACTTGGTTGGTTTCAATTTCAGTAGGTTGGGTTTGTTGGGCTTGTCTACTTTGGACAACCATACCCGGACCATTGGATGCAATCAGGTGGCTTGAAATCCTGCCTCCCCGTTTGATGGACGGGGTCATCAGCCAGTTGATCAACCGTTGGGTTGATGGCAAATGGGTATGTCTGAAAATGGGATATACCCCCAATTATAGCCATTTAGTAGGGATAATGATCATTAACCATTGGGTGTAGGGGTACACTATTTTCAGACAAACCCAAATGGCAACCAGCTCTACCCTCTGGTAATTTAACATAGCTATTGAAAATGGCCATTTATAGTGAGTTTTCCCATTAAAAATGGTGATTTTCCATAGTTACGTTAGTTTACCAGAGGGTAACCTACTTTTCCAAACATTTTTGTTGCTTTCTGTCAACAATGATCCTTCCTCATCAGGACATCGATGCACCGTTTTTTTTGGCCAAGGACATGATATCAATGATCCCAGGTGGTCGATATCACCAGCATAAAATCCCACGGTTTTTGGGATGGTGCCCCCATGGATATGGATCAAAATGAACACCCAAAATGGATGGTTCTTTTAGATCTGAAACATGAGCAGCTGCTGGGTTTAAGGTCCGAACATGCACCACATAAAACATCATCCCTGAATTGAAGGGAACACCTGCAGGAATCCCCTGAGTTTGAGGTTTAAATTGAAACAATGGTGCTATAGCAGTATTTCTTCAACTCAACCATTAATCCATTGGTTCAATCCACCATTGTTGCTGGCTAGATCATCTTAAATCACTCTTTGGGCTGAAATCATTGACTCCTGTAGAGACATTATATCTATAGGATGCCCCCAAGAACCGCTATTCAATAGGCCAACTTCACAAACCCTTCACCCGCGGCCAACTTCACACAAAATTGCTGCGTAAATCCACATGTTCAATTGTCAAATCCAGAGTTTAAATCTCCGAATCTGATGTTTAAATTTCAATTTTCACACGTTCCATCCCCACAACATGGCTGGTGAACCATCCTCAACATCTATGAACTTCATTTCTGATGGTCAAGTTCTAATTGTTGAAATCGAACATTTTTGTTGGTTAAATTTCTATTTTTAGATGGCTACAGGACCTTCCAGATCTTCCATGGCCTATGGAAAATCATCAAAATCGCCAGGTCATGGCCATGCGTTGGCACCCAGATCGGCCTCACAATCGCGACAAGAACAGTGAGGCAACGGCCAACTTTCGCACCGTGAAAGCAGCATACGCGTCTTGGCGCCGAAGTAAGTTTTCCATGAAAATCTCCGATAAATGGGAGGTGTCATCAAGGTACACCAAGCCGGCCCTATGGAAAATCCCGAGAAATGGCATTATTGCGGATTTAACCATTACAATTGGTGGCGTACCAGTCACAAAAGGATGTTGGTGAGTTTAATCGGTAAACATGATTAGTTCAATTCACCGGCCAAAATTGGATTTTACCCGGCAAAATTGTGATGCATGTGTTAACAATCAAACGCAGGGCCGGGACTTAACATGATTTGGCATGATATAATTATTTATATATATATTTTTATTTATTTAATTAATTAAGACACTAAACAATGGTTTGGGTGTGTTTGAAAATGGTGTTTTTAACGTCCCACAAGTGGTAATTACAGTTTCACCATCCTGAAGCATGGATACTGTATGTGGCATTTTATAGCCAGTATAACGCACCCAATTTATGCAAGATTGGGGATAGTTACTGGAGGGTAAATTTATCACACAATAACTGGTTGTCGGTTTCAAATATTTTTAATTTTCCATAATATATGGGATAATCCTTCCCATTGACCAATATTTTTCAAGATGGCTAAAACCACCAACCAGATAATAAGCAGGTGTATAAGCAAGCATAATAGGGATAGAGTTCGATGTACTGGCTTAATGGGATGTATGAAACCAGTTTAGCTCCTCCAATATCGCCAGTTAATAAGGAGAATCCCACTGATCAACCATCTAATCTTGGGGCGGTACCACTCCTCAGACAAACCCAAGTGGGGGAATTTCTGGAGGGTGCAATATGCATATATATAATATATATAAGATATAATATATATAATATATATAATATATAATATAATATATATATAGATATATATATATAATATATAATATATATATAAGAGATATATATATATATAATAAATATAATATAATATAATATATATATGTATATAATATATATATATATAATATACATAATTGGTTGTTTGGATGATGATTTTGGTAATAAATTTGGTCAACAGTGATTTGATTTGAGGAGAACAACCTAGTGTTTGATATTGGAGGTTTCCACCTGCATCCAACGATGCGAAACTGATGGTTCCTTAGGATCACGATCCGACGTTCTCAATGGTTTGGAAGGGAACATCTACGGGAAACAATGTTTTTTTCCTTATGAAACATAGGGAGTTCTTGTAAAATGTCCCTTACATCCATTCATTGACATCCAAGTTCATAGTATTGTGGGTCATCGCGTGGTTCTATGTGTGCGGAATTGATTTTGTGATTCGTGGCAGCCGCTCACGGACTAGGAAAGGGATCTCTAAAAGGCTGAAACATGCCCCCTTTCCCATTCATTGGGAAATACAACCAACAAAGTTGAAATTGGATACTGTACTTCACAGGGACTAAAATGAAGAGAAATGGAGCAAAGCTACCCATACAGCCAACAACAGCGGTGAGAATTAGTGATGAATAGCATGAATAGCAGCGGAAGTGGGCTGCAAACACAGGTCCCTATGGAAACGCGGGTACTGTAAGGAAAATTGCGGAAAAACCCATGCGATACATTCACCCTTGGGGATCCTTGGGGCACATGGTCAACGATCAATGAATTGGGGCTACAACTAGCGTCACATATCAATATAGTGCATGTTTGATGCTACAAAAAGTAGGCCAAATCATTGTTTTGTCGTAAAACGGAAGCCTAAGGAATTGTAATGTGGATATGTCATGATATGTCACTCCGTTTTATTGCCTCCCCCCGACGATAAAATATATACTTACAGTACTATTACGAAGCTTTAGATTCTTACCCGTTGGCAATGCAACATGGCAATGAACAGACGTCCCATCTAGCGACCCATTGGTTCTGGATAAATTTCATCACGACCTCACGTCGAGACATCATGTTTTATCATGGTTAATAAGGGGAGAGAGATCCCCAAGATAGCCGAACTATTCAGGTTAGTGAATTATTATATTTTGCCCAGATAGATGTTGTGTTTCGATCTTTTCCCTTATGTTACCTTATGTGCTGATGACGGATCCCATCTATTATTTTTCCCTTGCTCCACGGTTTAGCGTTGGGCCGTGCTTTCGGACAAGGACCATCTGACGCGAAGTCTCCCTCCAGCAGCGAGGTGACAAAAGCGTGAGGCAGGAGATCCATCGGTTGGGTTTTTTTTCTGGGGAAAATCCCAGATTTTTGCTGGTTGGTAATATATTGGGAAACCATAGGGAAACCTATATTGATATTAATTAATTTGGCTGGTGTTTTGGAATAGTTTTGTTTTTCTCCCATAGATTGGGAATGTCATCATCCCAACTGACGAAGTCATATTTTTCAGAGGGTAGGTATACCAGCAACCAGTTTGGCTTTCCAAAAGCTGCTCAATGAGTTCAATGAGTGACAGATGGACAATGAATTTTAACTGATTTTGTTCAGCAACTCTTTTCCAAAAGCTCAAAGTGACAAATGCCTCTGGGGAAATCAATGAGTTCAATGAGTTTGGCTTTTCCATGACACTTGGCCTACTTGACCATTTAATGACCTGAAGATATCAGAGGAAACCATTGTTTTTTGATGGTTTTGAGATGTGTTTACCATGAAAAAACGCTGAGGGGTAGGACCTGTAGGATTTTTTTTTTTGGACCGATCCAGTGGGAACATGAATGGAACCCCAGTTGTGAATGGAGGGAGCTGTGAATTTGTTTTTTTTTCATAAATGGGAGTAGTATATCCGTATATCCGTGTTTTTTCTTATTGAATATTTCTGGAGAGCCGGAGCCAGGAAGTTGGATACGCTTATCCGTACAGGCAGGATGGTTCCTATTGACCCATTTGGGATTCCCTAAGTTGAATTTCTGAGGGGTGTAAGCTCAATAGAGTACGAGCGTAGCTGGAAGATTTGTGTGTTTTGATATGAGATGAACAGCAAAAAAAAAGCTCAGGGCTGTTTTTGACACCTCGGAACCATTCAAGAATCTTCGCAATCTCATTCAAGATTTAAGGGCAAGATTGAGCATTGGGCATACTGGGCCTCCAATATGCTGGATCCATCAGTACCTCCTTTCACCTCCCATTTGACACTTACCACCTGCAGCGGCTCCCCAAAAGGCCCCACTGCTCAGGTGGTGATATCGCTACTGGCCGCCGTAGGAAGCACCGGCACCGGGGTTGATCAAATTTTCGCAGCCATGTTGGATATGGTTGGTTGGTCCAAATTACATCAGTTTTCCACAATTGAACAGCTTCAAAGCTTTCAAGGTACACTTTACATCACTTTACAATGCCACCTATGTTTGACACCTGCTATATCCTCTCGGGGCTTAACATTGCTTAACTGTTGGACGTTCAAATGGGCCTTGCTTAGCCAAGATCAACCCTTGTGATGTATCGTTGGCAGTGACCAGCGCATATCTGTGCTGGTCACATCAATCACTCGCCTGTTTCATGAAGAATTCGTCGCCGATTCGTCGCGGACAATGTGCTTTCCTGGTGGTCCCCGAACGGTCGAACAGGTGTAGAAATTGCAGGGGCTTCCGACTTCCATGGTACCCTTTGGTAATAAAACATGGCGTGCTGGAAAATCCTCCATTTATGGATGATTGTCCTATTTAAAACCTCAATTGATAGTATATGATAGTATCTGTGCCATTGCCATGTTTGATTACCGAAGGGTTATCAAACATGGATAGAACATGATAAGTGATGGGGCGCCCCAATCGTTTTTGCACTGTTGAATAGCCCCGAGAACATCCCAGAACTATCTGCGTTGGTATTGGATGCCCATTTTTGTGCGGGGTCATCAGATGCTATAAGGAACATATTTTGGGATTGTACAGGTCATGGAGAGGCTCGAGGCAGCTGAAAGCTGCTCATATTTGGGTCGACTTAGGTCGGTCACTCGGGTGAAAAAGGGCAAATTTCAACATATTTTATGTTTCAGCTATAGGTGTAATGCAGAGTATGAATGGAAAATGGCCCATGGAAAATGGCCCATTTACAGATGGTTTACCTATTAAAAATGGTGATTTTCCATGGCCATGTTAAATAACCAGATGGTAATTTTTACATGGAACTGCCACGAAAAAACAATTGATTTGGAACATGATTCTGCAACTTTTTGATGGTTCCATGTGAGTTTTGCGGAATGTCAATGGGATTATTTCAATGGGGCCTTCTTATCACTTGCAGCGCGGATAGATTAGGATTATATAATATAAGTTTTGATTTTGGATGATGCCCCAGTCACAAAAAAGGGTAGTGTCACCAGTTCTAAGTTACTTCGATCTATCCACCGTAAACCCCAGTGATTGGAGGTTCGGATTCAACTTCGCCATTTTTCACACCTTGTGACGCAGCTTGCGCTGCGAGCCAGGTGCATCCAGTGAAGCTTCCAGAGAAGCCACATATTCCCGGCCCAGGTGCGGTGGCGCCGTCACTGGCCATGGATTTTCCTGGAGGGGAAAAAACACCATCAGCTGATTATTTATAGCTGCATTTTGCACAATGATATTTTATGACAAAATATGACAAAATATGACTATCATGATGTGATGGCTTCTATAAATCTTTATTACTGTTAGACTGCTAGAGTAATGTTATTGTGATGTTCTTTTCCAACTGGTATATATGCATTCATCCATAGTGTTAGTATTATGTTGGTTTTGTGATTTAGTCTTATTAGCCCCGTTATGATTACAATCGGATTCAATCATAATCATGATGACTAAGAAATTTACTATCCCATAGGATCCATGGTGCTGGTATATATGCTAACATTTGGGGTATATTGATGGTATATTGATGGTATATTGATGGTACATGTTACCATTTATAGCAGCACCATGGATCCTATTGGTATTGCTATCATCCTTTTGCTGCGCCTTCAGCTGGTCGGACCGTGGGATGTTCCCAGGGGATGTGGATATTCTATGGCCCAAGGCCGCCAGCCCAGAGGGGAGGGCAGAGCTTGCTTGGGAAGTAGATGTTGGATTTTCCCATGGGTTTTCCTAGGAAAACGATCCACAAATGATGATTTTGGTAGGGATATTCCACATCTCTGTTAGTTAAAAAAGGAGGGTAGTGTGTGGTTAAACAACCCTCTGGCGGCTAGGAAATATCCTATCAATAGGTTGATTAGGAGAAAGGGTATGTACTCTTTGGTAAACTAACATAGCGAACTGGAAAATCACCATTGTCCATGGGAAAATTCACTATAAATGGTGATTTTCCATATAGTTATGTTAAATTACCAGAGGGTAATATTGGATAAATCACCATGTTGAAGCCCCGTCAATCCATGGAATTTTCGTCTCGAAGTAGCCAGAGGGTTACCTCCAACATCTTTGAACCATGGCTGGGTGCGGCTAGTGGGTAACCCTTGGGTGGTGCTTTAATCGCTTGCTACAAATTGGGATATTCTACAACCAGCTAGGCCCAAGGATGTTATTTCAACTTGAAAACTGTGGTCCTAGAAATGGTACCCATGCCTATGCCTATTTGAAGTCATACGAAACCCACCTGTGCTTTGAACAGGACTGGGCAGCTCGTGTAATTATATTATATATATATGTGTGAATAGATTATATATATATTACGTATACATACACACATGGATAAGTATATTATATTATATTATATTATTTTATGTTTTTATATAACAATATATTATATTAGATTATTTTATTTTATATTATATTATAATATGTATTATATCATATTATATCATATTATATCATATTATATTATAACATTTTTGTATTTTATTATATGATAATATTTTATATCCTATTATATTATATTATATTATTTTTATTACACACACATATTTATAGTCTATATCATACATCATATATATATATATATATACATACATCTATGTATAATGTCAAGTGAGGATTAATAATGCCCTCCCGATTAATCAACAGCAACTGCCCAAAAAAAAAATGTAATTTAAAAACAGGTGGTCCCCCCAGATTAATATTTTTTTTGGCCTACCCCCGATTAATCAACAACCACTTCGGAAATCCATTTTTTATCCAACATTTTTTTATTTCCAATTCTATTTATTTCCAATTGTTTTTTTTTTTAACCTTGTTTTTAATCATCATTGTTATACTTCAGGTTTAAGTTGATCATTGAAAATTTCAAAAAACAACTATTCCCCAAATGATCGATTTCTAATTAAAATATTTATAAAAAAACATCAGTTTGGATAGCTCCCAAAGGGTACCCCCCCATGAGCCCATGTCCCCCAGTAATAATAACCATGGTTTGCCCCTGATTAATCAACCACCTTTCTGATCCATGAAATTTTAACAAATCCAATGGAATTCTATTAAGATCTAATTGACGTAAGCCATATCCAAAGTTTTATGGTTCAGAGTTGCTTATTATTAAGGGGCGATCAAGAAAACCAGTCAGAAGGTACCTCCCTACCTTCTGGGGGGGGGTTATTAATCCGGTGTTGGCATTATATGTCATTATATATATATATTATTTGTTTAAAGTATACAAATTCATTTTTCCCTAATGAATTCTGTGCATATATATATGTATATTATGGGATGTAACAAACACATTTTACGTGCAGAAAAGAGACCGATTTCGTGAATTCTTTGGCATCGCTGGAAACCAAGGATCCAAACATGCCTGGCATCGTCGAAGATCCAGCAACTCAGCAAGAACATTTTGGGACAACTCCTGTTCACCGTGTGTCGCATTGTAGGGGTTTAATCATCCCCCAGCTTCAGAATATTGGGCCTTATCCTGATCCAGAAATATTCTGAAAAGTTCGTTCTGGGGTTCCGGATGTGTTTGGTTTGCTGGATTGAAGGTGCAAAAAAGTAGGATAACGGTAAATATGTAGGGAACATACATAGACCCTGATGCTTTTAGTTTCTAAAGAGAAACGTAGTCTTCTATCCCCCCTATTTGGCAGGGTCCATGTTGGTTGGAGGGTAATAAAAGTGCTGATTTACAGCACAGGCCAACATCGGGGAGTCGACAAGCAACGACTGGAAGTTCCTGAAATCAACCAGCAAAACGTGTGGAACGTTGAGAAATTGGGTCTCACGTATTGCAACCAAGGTACTTTACCTTTTAAAGTGAAAAGTACTGTTGTCCACCCGCATCTTTTAATTCTCAGAGGGCACTCAAGGTGTTTCATAGAGTGTAGTTCTCTGCAAGGATACATTTTGCGGACTGTATATTGACACATGGGCTATGACATACTTATGATGAATCATCATATCGGAAAGACTTTGGAATGGCTATTGGGTCATCAAAACAAGATAGGGCTGTTTGTCTCTCAGCGGCCACTGGCCATTCTGAAATGCTTCCCGAATATGGTCCTGGGATGTCCTGGGTTTGCTTGAGGTGGTTTGTTATCCTCCCAATGATAATCCTACAATCTATATTTGGAAATGTGAGGGGAATACGCCTTATTTCGATTTATCCCTCAAGCAATTCGAAGTTAATGGTTGGTGGGGGAAGTATGCATCCACACGTTTTTGTCGTCCACACAGCAAAACCCGCCGTGCCAGCGCGGGAAGTTTTTTTTTTACCGACAGCCTAACAGCATTTTGCCAGGGCTTCACTCGCTTCACTCATCATGGTTTGTGACAAAAAGAATCGATGCGCACACTAGACCAAATGCGTTTTGTTGTTTTTACCCCAAACAGTTTGTTTGAGAAGTGTTGTGATTTGAACACGTACTGTAATTATACAAGTTGGATCAACAAACACATATATGTACATAATACATCATAATACGTACATATTATATTCATATTATTGCTGTATTACCATATTTTTATTGTTAAATATGTTTCATAGATGTACCTAGCATTACCCTCTGGTAAACTAACGTAACTATGGAAAGATCCACCATTTTTAATGGGAAAACCCGAGGTTTGCTTGACGCCTCGGGTGCCATTGTCTCCAGGCGGGGAAAAATGGGGAAAATTTGTGCCACGGCAAACACGCGTGGTGCAGCTACAAGGTAAATAGGAATCAGGAAAAAAGAGCAAAACAAAACTATGCACCATATATATATACGGTGAATATATGGTAAATATTTATATTTACCATATATATATATACATATCCTATATATATCATATATCCTTGCATGTATATATTAGAGATATATCTATATACACACTAGTCACTAGTATATACTAATAAAATCTAGCGTGTGTATA